AGTTGTGATAACAATTCCGAAGAAACTATAGTTCCATGCAATAGTTTAAACAAAAAATAACAGAACTGTGCTTCCTTCTCACATTCAAAGACGTCATTTTAAATCTGTCTAACAGAATTTGATAGTCCGACCCACGTTGAGGGTAGACTCTATCGCACAGATATTTAAGAAACTTTTTTGGAACATAATCTATCCTATTTATATAACAGCTATAGTAGGTATTCCATATTAGGAATGCATACTATAACTGGGATCTTATACAGGGTGACTTTGAAGTTCAGTCATTAATTTTCAGATATGATTGTAGAAGGAAGATAAACCAAAATATGTGTGTAAAAATAAAAAAAAAAAATAAAAAAAAATTTTACCTTGTTTTATAATGTATCCTTTCGACAAGTATTTCAGTGCGGACCTGTATTTGATCGTGAGGTCTTGGTGCACTGGCATGCCGTCCCCTGTGAGGTCTTAAGTCACCTGATTCACGAGCCCGTTGTACTACATTAACAAAGGCACGAGGGGTTGGTTGCACTCGATTGGGAAACCGATCCGCATAAACATGTGCCATTTTTTATTTCGTTTGAGCCACGCAACAGACACCACTATTCACTCACGCGTTACCGACTGGCACTGACTGTATACAACTGAATAAAATAATTGTAAAAACATCGTTCCAAATTCTTTCGCTTTTTTGTTTCCGATGCGATGAACCGATAAGGCGGATTATATCCGTTGTTGCCAAACACGAGCACATAATATTATTATTGAGACAGGGCGGTACTCAAGCTTCCAAAGGGCTATAACTTTGTTACTTTAATTTTACCAGAAAAATGGTAAAGGAAAAAACATTTCTTTTGATCAGATCTACTCACTGTTAAAATAAATGACTCAACTTCGAAAGTCACCCTGTATAAGCATAATGCAAGGTTTTTAGTGCTGTCAAATCATTGATTAGCTTACAGTTTCTGGTGAGAAAACCGAAAGACCCATTAGCTTTATTCATAATATTATCTATATGATAGTCAAAACTAAGCCTAGTGTCAAACATAACACTCAAATCACGAACAGTATCAACTCGAGTGACCTCAATTCCCCCAATACTGTATGCATATTCTATTTTACGTAGCTTTCGGGATAAAGTAACTACCTTGCATTCAGCAATATTCAAATGTAACCTGCTTAGCATACACCAATCTTCCAAAGGCAAAGTTTCGTTTGTAAATACTCACAATCTTTTTTACTATTAATATCAACATACAGCTTCAAATGATCAGCAAATAACAGTTTACCACAATCAATATAATCACATACATCATTCACAAAGATCAAAAATAATAAGGGGCCCAGGTTAGAACCTTGTGGCACCCCAGATGACGAATTGTATCGAAACGAATCGAAATCATTGTCAGAAACATACAGCTGTCGATTCCACATATAAGACATTAATAACGATATTGATTTGTCAGTAAAACCAAATGAACGTAGCTTAGTAATGAGCTCCCCATGATCGACCTTATCGAAGGCTTTAGAAAAGTCAGTGTAGACTGCATCCAACTGTCCCTGATTATCTAGGACATTCGAGGCTAACTGAGTAAATACTGCCAAATTGGTGACATTTGACTTACCACACATGAACCCATGGGACATTTGACTATAGGTGGAAAGGTAGATGCGGTTGTAAAGAATTATTTCAAATAACTTGGCAAAATTATTCGATATTGAGATCGCTCCATAGTCCTCCATTGAATGACGGTCACCCGCTTTGTAAATAGAACAAACCCTGGTTTCCTTCCATTTATCTGGGAACTTATCAGTAGATAATATGAGATTAAAAAGAATAACCAGAGCATCTACTATACCAAGCGCACAATTCTTGACCAGGAAAGAGGGAAGCTTATCTGGCCCTGAGGTCATCTTGGACTTCAGTTTTCTTGCTGCATCACATGTTTCATTTTCAGTTATACTCACCTGAGTTAAGTTGACAATACATTTGATGCCGCAATAGGTAACAGATGTCAAGTAAATTGTCTAATAATAATAATACTAGATTAAAAAAGTTGTTCTTTCCAAATTGATGACACGCATACGGATTGCATTAGTACGAAATGGGCACTTGATAATGCAGTCTCGTATCTGTGTCACAGCAATGACGGCTAACATTTTTGTCAGTGCGTCAAACAAAATGACATGGTCATGTCTTGACTGTTAAGATTCAAAGTTGAACACAAGCATTATACGAGTAGATACTCGAATAATTTGTCACAGCTTATATTCACCAATGGGCCATAATGTGTGGAACTATCACAAAACAGTATATGAATTTAAATATCAAACAGACATGTTTCAATTATTTTATGTCCTCATTGTCTATATTTGTAGCAATGCAATGTATCTACACACAAGTGCTTTCCAGAAGGATCCCTGACCGACACGGTTATCATGTACCTTGAAAAGTGACATTATGCCGATTTTTTTGACATTATGCTGTTTTTTTTGACATTATGTAAGTTTTTCTACAAGATATTAACTTAGCACTTAGTTTTACGTGTTGCCTTAACGTCATGAGGCTTGTTATGCATCTTTGGCTCTGATATGATGTAAAATCTGCTTCTGAGATGGCATTACTGGAGGTCTAAGCTGTTTGTTGTATGTGTTGATGATAATTACATTGGGTTCTTATCTCAAATACATTTAATTGAGATTAAAAGCTAGAAACTTGGTGCGCATCCACATTTTCTTATCCGTTCTGAAAATTACATATACAAATTTGCTGAATTTCAAAAATGAGAGAGATGAGAAATAATTATATATTCACTGTACACTGTCGAAGTACAAGCCATATACATGCTAACAGTAATTACACACAACGCGGGCGCGGTGATGATTTCCCGTAATTCACCTCAGTTTTTCGTAACTTATAACTTTGAACAAAACCTCTCTTCAGAAAGCACAACATAAAAATAACCCATCGGACACAGTCAATATATATACTGCACTGGCAGCATAGGCAGTAATGATTTTCTCACTCAGCAAATATCACTGATTTTTTAGACACGCAGCCCAATACACATAATCATCCAGATGCGATCTTGCTATTCAACTAACATTCTTCTCAGAGATAAAAACTACAGATAAGGACCATTTGGCCTCACAAGACATATGCAACCAATAATGCGTGTAGTTTAGTTGAGTGATTCTTCCATAGATTCACAACGATCCTAGTGAGCAAACGTGGCTGTTTGCGCCTTAAAAACTACCTAGTCTGCAAGTTGACATCTTATAGGTTTTTTTGACGTTTTATAGGTTCTTTACATGATACCTGTGCGGTTCTTATGTATTGAAAAGGGCAACATTTTTAAGTGCAGTGAGTGGCACGTCGTACCTTACTTTAAATATATTTATGAGTACAGTAGAACCTCGATTATCCGAACTAATTGGGACCAAAGGTGGTTCGGATAATCGAAAAGTTCGGATAAAAGAGGTTAGATTAAAAATATGTACATATATGTACTACATATGTGTACATAGGGAATAAAACAATTAACTACTCAATATGTACATATATTTATTATGTATGTTGTACACATATATATATATATATATATATATATATATATATATATATATATAAAGGGTGTTCAGATAGGGACGCTCGATGTTTGAACGGCGCGCGCGCCCAAACCGGTGGGGATACAGCTGTCAAATTTTGTGAGGTTATTAAGTTAGTCTTGACATTTAATCATGGAGCAGTACACGATTCAACAACGCGTGGAAATTGTGAAAATTTATCATCAAAACAGATGTTCGGTTCGTGAAACGTTCCGCGCATTGCGTCCAATTTATGGTGCGCATGGCCGTCCTGCTGAGTCCACTATTCGACGTCTGCTCAATAAATTTGAGAGAACTGGCTCAGTGGCAGAGCAAACAACACCCGTACGGCAACGAACAGTAAGAACAATCGAGAATATTGCTGCTGTGCGAGAGAGCGTGCGTCAAGACCCGAATCAGTCATTGCGGCGACGTGCACAAGAACTTGCCCTTCCAAACACCTCAACATGGACAATTATGCGTCGAGACTTGAACTTGCACGCGTACAAAATTCAATTGACGCAAGAATTGAAACCGCAAGACCATGGACAGCGCCGTACATTTGCCGCATGGGCTCTAGAGCAGTTGCAAGTCGACCCTGCATTTGCACGAAAAATCATCTTCAGCGACGAGGCGCATTTCTGGATGAATGGGTATGTCAATAAACAGAATTGCCGTATATGGGCTGACCAAAATCCTGAAGTGACTTGCTCAATTGCTATGCATCCTGCTAAAGTGACTGTATGGTGCGGTTTCTGGGCTGGCGGCGTAATCGGTCCATATTTTTTTGAGGACGCTATCGGCAACGCGCTTACGGTCAATGGAGATCGGTATCGCGCCATGATTAATGATTTCCTGTGGCCTCAACTGGACGATATGGATCTAACAGACATCTGGTTCCAGCAGGACGGCGCTACGTGCCACACCGCACCCGCAACGCTGGATTTACTGCATGAAAAGTTCAACGGTTTCATTATTTCGCGCGGCGGCGATGTGCACTGGCCACCAAGATCGTGCGATATTAACGCCTTTAGACTTTTTCCTGTGGGGCTACGTGAAGTCTCAAGTGTATGCGGATAAGCCACAAACAATTGCAGCATTAAGGGCCAACATCATTCGCGTCCTCGGACAGGTAGACGCTGAAATGTGCGGAAAAGTGCTCGAAAATTGGACCATGCGAATGCACGCTGTACAGCGCAGTCGCGGTGGCCATTTAAACGATATAATCTTCCATACATAATGTCGTCGAATGCTATTTACGATCAATATAGACTTTTAGTGCTGACTTAAATTTTTTTCCATTTTAACTTTCGAGCGTCCTTATCTGAGCACCCTATATATATATATATATATAAATGTACGTACGAACACATTATGAACCATTACAAACTCTTGCTTAGGTACGTTTGAAAAAATCACCAATCTTCGTCTGCTTCATCTTGTTTATTTTTTTTTGTCAAAGCCAACTCCTTTATCTTTTGAAGTTGAAGTAGCTGGACCACTTCTACTTCCTCTTGTCTTTCAAGCCACTGAAAGACAACATCAACGGCTTTTAGTGCTTCGTCGTGAGAGGGTCCCGTTGGAGGTTCCAAAGCACAGTCATCGACGCTTTCTTCCTCGTCATCCACAATGGGGTCTGACAGAACACTCTCAATAATTTCTTCATCAGTCACAATGGGGAATCCTTGGTCATCGGCGTCAGAATTTAACCACTTCAGCACGTCTTCTTCGTCACAGTCTTCTCTTACTTTGAGGGATTCAAGTGTGTCAAGCATTTCAGTCACAAGTTCAGTTTCTTCATGTCTTTCGTTAAGGGGCAGTAGATCAACAGTAGGCTCATTGAGATCATCGTAGTATTTTTTCAACAACTTATTCCATGCCTTTTTCAGTGTGCTTGGAGAAACTAAATTCCAGGCCTCAACAACCATGTAGCAACCATCCTTCAGATTAATTGACTTGAAGAACGCGATAACACTGTCAGCCTTTTCTTTTTCATCGTCTTTGAGCAAAAGTCGGCGTAAAAGTTGCTTCCGGTAATTCCTTTTCATAGTCTCAATGACACTTTGATCCATTGGCTGAAGGATTGATGTCACATTAGGAGGTATATAGATGACTTTGAAACCGTCTCTTGTCAAACTCTCAGCATCTGGATGCGAAGGCGCATTGTCCAAAACCAATAAAACAGGCTTTGATTGCTTACCCACTTGCTCAAGAAACTTTTTAACTTCGGGTATGAAGGTGTTGTCATACCAGTCTACAAATATTTTCCGGTCCATCCATGCCCTGGATTGGTTTTTGTAAACGAGAGGTATCTTCGCGTTTTTGAAGGCTCTTGGATTTTTGGATTTTCCTATAAAAAGCATGGGAATTCTATGGCTACCAGTAGCATTTGCACAAACCATTACGGTGACCCGATCTTTGCTTGATTTATATCCAGGGGCTGACACTTCCCTCTTGGATGCCGGAGTTTTAGAGGGTAAGCTTTTCCAACATAAACCACTTTCATCTGCATTATAAACAAGCTCCAAATCATAACCATCCTCTCTTAAAATTTCTGAAAATCTTGTCACAAATCCAGAGGCAGATGAAGAGTCAGCACTGAGTTTTTCACCTTGAATATCAAGCTGGCGAATGCCGTGTCGAGATTTAAATTTATCTAGCCATCCTTGAGTTGCAGAGAATTTAGGATCACCCCCTAATTTTTTCTTGAAGTCTAAAGCTTTCTCACACACCAAGGGGCCGTTGATAGGTTTTTTTTTTTTTATACTCCAACTACCACGAAGGCCTAAGGCCTAAGCACCCATTGGGTACCGTGGGGCTATGGGGGATACATGGGAAAGGGGGGACGCCACACGGACTCTGGCGAAGGAACACGTGTGCATGCAACATGCACACATTCTGGCTCCGCCTACGAGAACCGCCGGGTGGTACCTCCGCGTTCGACAGTTAGAGACCATCTACCACCTACGGACAATCACAACATCCATGGCCAAGAGAAACATTTCTCATGGGACGGGACTCGAACCCGCACAGCGCACGGCGACTGATCAGGAGACCGAAGAGTCTACTACTGCGGCCACCGCTGCTGCCTAAAACAAACACACAACATCCATGGCGAAGGCGAGATTCGAACTCGCGGCCCGGCCGACCGGCTGATCAGTAGCACGACACTCTGACCCACGCGGCCAACCGAGGTCCCAGATGAACGTTTTTGGGAAAACCATGTGAAAAGAGCCTCATCCAAACATTCGTTGGCGGATCTTTTCATGGTCTTGCGCTTCGAACATCCTGCATCACAGTCAAGTTTGCTCGCGAACGTCAAAATCGCGCTGCACTGTTTTTTAATGTCCGATATCGTTGACTTTCCCACACCATAAACCACCGACAGAGATTGGGCCGATTCGCCTTTTTTCATACGCTCCAAAATATCCACTTTGTCCTTAATTGACAGCACCACCCGTTTACGCTTTGAAAGAGACATACTTAAGAACAAACGAAAAATGTCACCGCACCCGGCTTATATTACATACACGCCACGAGTAGACTTAACAAGGGAGATTGTTCGTGTTCCGTCCCGTCGAAGTTACCTGCCGACTACACTGAAAGACTGATCGAAGTTAAATCGTAAGACGACTGTCGATGTGTGTCAGTACGATGGATCTAACCTCTACACTCCTCCGCCGCCGCCAACGCGTCTACGCTGCTTAGGAGGGGAAAGCACGTGTAACATTTTTATAATGCAACGTCGGCGGCGTCCGTTCAAAGCGAGAAACAACTGTGTAAACGAGTTCGGATAATAGAGGGTCCGGATAATAGAGGTTCGGATAACGGAGGTTCTACTGTACTTTATAATCTTAGAACACAAAATGGCGGATTGAGAAGCTATTAAAATTGAGCGTTTTTGTATATCAAATCGCTTTTGACTAATCTCCAAAACATGACATGTACAATAGCACAATCATATCTTAAAGACGTTTTAAAAACGCCTTTTTGAGATATTGGAGACTTTAAGAGCTGAGCGTCTTGAATACGTCTTTATAGCACGTTCGCAAGGTATTTAGTGCGGCATTAAAAAGAAGTCTATTTTTTATTGAAAAGGATGTTTTGAAAAGAAGTTAATCTCTTGAACTGACAAACTTTTTTTGTGGCTGTGCGACGATTCGGACCTGGCTTTAGCCAAGCCCCTATTGCTAGCACCAACGCGTGGTGGCTTTGGCAGTTACTAGCCCTCTTAGCAGATATTGAAAAAAATAAGTAGGCAAGGTTGTTCCATAAGCTTTTTTAATTTTGTAATGCAAAATAAATTTGTTTCGTTGCTCTTATACTATTTGACTGATCCAAAACAAATCATCATAAATAATTGTTACTCTACAGGGTGTTTCAGTTTTTGTTGCATAACTTTAAGATTCGATAGAACTTTTAAAATGAATGCATAAAGTCTATATAAACATGGGTCGAAAAATGCGTGGATTCCGAAATACAGGGTGTTTAAATTTACTTTTTAAAATAGCTTTTTTAAATATTTCGAACAATATTTGATGTATAACAGTGAAAATTGTATACAAGGGTTTTTTGGTACGACAAAACGAACCATGGGCATAGTTTTACTGTAGCCGCTAGAAGGCGCTCTCTACTGTACCTGTAGTGTATTAAAATCACCGAAAACTTTTTCATAGTGCAATTTTTTGCCTTTTGAATAAAAAAAAACGATTCTTCGCACTTTTCAACATAAAAAAGCTCTCCTGTGAGTTTTCGTTATAGTTAGCCGTTTTTAAGATATTTCGATTTTTAAGGTTCGATGCATTTTTAATTATTTATGGGAAAATAATATTTTTTTTTACATTTTCGATTTGGGCATTACAGGTAATCAAGATGATCGTTTAGATTGTGTTTTTAAACATAGCCATAGTTCCTAACTCCAAATAAACACAAAAAAACAGAATATTAATTTGTCTAATTTTCCAATATTATTTTTACAAATTAAATTAATTATTTGCAATTAAAATGCTTTTGGATAGTTAGAACAAACATACAAAATCTAAAGTAGTTGCTCGAAATGTAAAACCAATTGTTCAATACACAATTCACATCTACGAATGATCGAACGTGGTATAGCATTATTCAAATAAGGCCTTATTTTCATCATTTCATCACATGCATTTCTGATTCCTGATTTTGTCTATTAGCATATCTCTTGTGGTTACGGGAGTCTGGTACACTTTTTCCTTTAGAAATCCCCATACAAAGAAATCTAATGGATTTAGGTCAGGGGATCGTGGAGGCCAGGCGACTGGTCCTCCACGGCCGATCCATCTTTCTGGATAGTTTTCGTCCAGCCAGTTTCCAACTATTCTCGAATAATGAGCTGGACAATCATCAAGCTGGAACCAGGCCAATCTTCTTAAATCTAACATAACATCATCCCACATATTTGCATGTTCACCTTTAAAAATTCCAAGAAGGTCGCAGCATTTAACCTTGCAGGCACAAGGTAGGGTCCCAATAGTCGATTACGGTAGATACAAATCTACACGTTCACACTAAATTCATGCTGAAAATTTCTTTCCCGAACTGCATGCGGATTTTCATGCGACCATATATGTTGATTACGAAAATTTACCACTCCACGTCTAGTGGAGCATGACTCATCGGTCCATAAAACGTTACTTAAAAACTCCCTATTATTATCAGTTCTATCAAGAATCCACTGACAAAATGTGATGCTTCGTTCTCCGTCCCCTGGCTGTAGTCCTTGCACAGGTTGCAAATGGTAAGGACGTCTATGGTCATTTCTAAGAACACGGTGAACATGGCTTGCTGAAATTGCCAAGGCACCAGAAACTCTCCTAACACTTGTGGTCGGAACTCTATCAAACTCACGCAGAATCATACGGGTAAATCTGCGCTGACGAACATTTATGTTTTGATCCCTCTGGAGATTTCCAAAACCATTTTCAATTATTTGGCGATGCACTCTTACAAATACTGAGCGAGTTGGATTTCGTCTGTTTGGAAATCTTCGTGCGTATTCTCTGGCTGCTTCTGTTGCGTTTGCATTTATAAAGCCATACACAAAATGAATATCCGCTAGCTAACTCTTGATTGGAGAATAAAAATGGCATTTTTATAAAACTTACAAAAAAAAAACAGGTAAAAGGAACTAAACTTCGTGCATTCATAATTGCAAAAAACGTTTCAGGTTTCAACAGACAACAAAACTAACTGTCAACTAATTGACGTTTAACCTTATTCTGCTTTCAATTTCAAAAATACTTTTTAACGTTATTTTATCATAAATAATTAAAAATGCATCGAACTCTAAAAATCGAAATATCTCAAAAACGGCTAACTATAACGAAAATTCACAAGAGAGCTTTTTTATATTGAAAAGTGCGAAGAATCAGTTGTTTTATTCAAAAAGCAAAAAGTTGCACTAAGAAAAGAAATTTTTCGGTCATTTTAATACACTACAGGTACAGTAGAGAGCGCCCTTTAGCGGCTACGGTAAAACTATGCCCATGGTTCGTTTTGTCGTACCAAAAAACCCTTGTATACCAATTTTCACTGTTATACATCAAATATTGTTCGAAATATTTAAAAAAGCTGTTTTAGAAAGTAAATTTAAACACCCTGTATTTCGGAAGCCACGCATTTTTCGACCCATGTTTATATAGACTTTATGCATTAATTTTAAAAGTTCTATCGAATCTTAAAGTTATGCAACAATAAACTGAAACACCCTGTATATTGGCACAAATTAAGTAATTGAAAATTCTCTAAAGAGCAAACCAAATTTAACAAATATCTTGCTTGACGCGGTGGTCAAAGCCACCTGACTCGAGGACTGGAAGCATGCGCAAAAAGAATTGTAGTTGTCCAAGTTCTTTATATCCTTGAAATACGCTGGTAACATTTTATTCAAATTAGTTTACATTCAAGGCCTACACTTATCCATAAAGATAGAGAGCACTTTTTTCTAATATCTAATATTAACAAACGCACGGCACGGGTATTACGTATCTTGAAAAGTGACATCCCGATGTTTTTTGACATTATGCTGTTTTTTTTTGACATTATGTAGGTTATTCTACAAGATGTTAGTTTAGCACTTAGTTGTCCGTGTTGCCTAAACGTCATGAGGCTTGTTATCAATCTTTAGCTCTGATGTGGTGTAAAAATGCTTCTGAGGTGGCATTACTGGAGGTCTAATCTGTAAGTTGCATTGCATTGGGCTCTTGTCACAAATTGAGAATCAAAGCTAGAAATTAGTTGCGCATCCACTTTTTCTTATCTATTCTGGAAATTACATATACAAATTTGCTGAATTTCAAAAATGAGAGAGATAAGAAATAATTATATTCACTGTACCCTCTCGAATTACAAGCCATATACATGCTAACAGTAATTACACACAACCCGAGCGCGGTGATGATTTCCCGTAATTCTCCTCAGTTTTTCGTAATTTATAACTTTCAACATAACCTCTCTTCAGAAAGCACAACATATAAATAACCCGTCACATTCGGCATATTCAGTAATGATTTTCTCACATAGAAAATATCACTGATTTTATACACATGCAGACCAATACACATAATCATCCAGATGCGATCTTACTATTCAACCAACTTTCTTCTCAGAGATAAAAACTACAGACCCGGATCACTGAGCCTCACAAAACTATGCAACCAATAATACGTAGTTTAGTTGAGTGATTCCTCCATAGATGGACGTTCACAACGATCCTAGTGAGCAAACGTGGAATGACTGTTTGCGCCCTAAAAACTACCTAGTCTGCAAGTTGACATCTTATAGGTTTTTTTTGACGTTTTATAGGTTTTTTACATGATACCCGTACCAGACAAGAGACGATCTATATTTGTGGTATTTTCTCTGAAGGAAAACAAGTGAAAAAGAGTAGATGGCACAGCGATTTTTGACAAATTGACAGATGACGGAGGTACATATGCTGCACAGGTAAATATAGGGATGTGCTCTTATCAACCGACGTATCGTCATCTGGTGATTAATGAGTTAAAATAGAATGTTCGCGAAATATCTTGAAATGATTACAGAAAAAGCGGTGATGCTTAAACAATACAGATGTGGAAAAAGTTCAATGTCTTTTTACTTTGCATAGTTTAAAATATTGAAGTTGCATTAAAGGCCTACGAATATTTAAAATGTGCTAAAAATGAACTTGATATTTTGAATCGCCGTTTGGTAAACAAGAAAATATGTTTTACTGTAATGTTCTGTTGGGCGTTCAGCATTTGAGTTTCTCATATGTTTGCAAATACCTTATTTCTGACTTCTTTCTAAAAATCGCATGTCTTCTAGAACGCATAAGTTGACGTATTAAAGATGTTTGTTTTTATGTCTTGTTGGATGTCCGTAAAACGTCGCGCCAAAGTT